AGATCGGTGCCAACAAGAACCCAGTTTTGGCGACGATCGTTCTCACCGCGATCGCCTGTCTTTTCGTGTTGATCGGCGACTTGAATCAGGTAGAATTGAATTGAAAGATGCGCTTCAAACAAGTCTCCAAAGCTTAATCTATTTCAAAAGATTACTCTAACAAAAACATGTCCCTTCAGCTAGCCATTCTCTCAACGATGCCATTTTTGATTACTTACGCGATGGTTAATTATGCCTATGTTTCATTGGCGATGAGTTTCGATTTAGTGAGCGTCACCGAAGCATCGTAAGTCATAAAAATGAAAATTTTGCAATTTTTTTTTGTTTTGCAGAACAATTCCCTCTTATGGTTCGACACAACAAATCGCTGAAAGAGCCGATTTGGATGAGCTGTTCCCGGAAAGGAAACAAGTATTGTACAAGTGTTGAAATCAGTAATGAGATTCAGTTTTCCGCGACTGGAATCGAAACTACAGCCGACATCGTCAGCCAGCCGGCATCTTGGTATTCGCATTTCAGCAATCGATACGTTTCACTCGTTGGGGTTCGTGCGAAATGAAATTTTTCAAAGAAACCCCTATTTAGTGTATGGTAAACCTCTTGATCCTTATCTTCATCAACTTCTGGTATGCGATCGTTCACTTTGCGGCTCTCATCTTATTGTATTTCTATATTGCGCAAGTGACTCCCGCGTGTTTCCCAGGTAAGCAATGTCCATAAGAAATGCATGCAAATCATTCAGGCATCTCTCAATTCTCTATTGTTCACATGTTCCGCACCGCGTTTTCTTCGATTGAATCGATCGGTGTTAATGCACATAAACCCTGTGTGATTGGTTCTGGTAAAGTCAAAGTAGAAATAAGAATAGAATTTGATTTCAGGTCCGACACCGAGCGAGTTCAGCACTCAACAACTGAATGAGCACAGCAGCGATTATGAACAACGAAAACAGTATCATCACGCCAAAGAAGTGACTAGTGAATTTGATTAGCCGATCACTCTCCTAGACACATTTCATCCAAACATATCAAGCACTCTCGGTTATCTGTATATCAGTTATTCATAGGCGCACCTTCTTTTAATAAACTGCCATTGTTGCTGTCAAATCGGAAATAATAAAACTTTGAAAAATGTATTTCAAAAATAAAACATTCAGTGTTTATTCAACAAAAATCAAAACAAAACAATTTAATCCGCTTAGATGTTCGATGGGTAGAGGAGCTAAAAGAAAACAAATTAGCACGTCATTATGAATTTAGAGAAGAAATTTATAATTTCCCTCCAGCTATCATCAACACATTGACATATTCTTTACAAGTCACAACCGTGTCAACTCACCACGCGAATTCGCTTTCCCATGGCCGCAGGTGGAAGGTTGTGGCCGAACTTGGCTCTGACGGATCCGGCGTTTCCATGAACTCGTGTGACTTTTCCCCAGATAGCACGCACTCGGCTTCCCTAAAACAACATGTTATTGATACCCAAAAATGTGAATTTAAAAACTCTAACTATACCCATAAAAAAAAAAGCTGCAGTTTGTGACATTTAGTAGTTACCTTACTCAGCACGATTTTTACGCGTTCAATTCAAAAAGGTCTGACTAGACTTTAAACCACAAGATCGAGCAGCAACCGTTAATAGACTTTCATCAAATCGTCAGCACATGAGATTTAAGATTTAATTTAGAGTAGCAGGATAAAACGACTAAGCAAGCGTATAGAAGAGAGCCGCGCATACTTTCGCATTTCATTCAAAGAGCTTTTGGCACAGCGTTTTTATCTTTGCAGACATTAATGAGCAAAAAACTTACGTTGGTCTTGTTGTGGGCCTTGTAGAAGTAGACAGCTCGTTTGCCGACGTACCAATGAGCCTCGTCTTTTGAGTGAACACCGTCGAGCGTCAAAAGGGCAGTGTTCTCGCGTTGATTCCGAAGTGCCCTCTTGAATCCGGTGAAGACGGCTTTCACGTACAACCTAAAGTCAAAAATATAGTCAACGAATTAAAGCAATGTTTTGATTACAAACAATCTCAAGTAATGAATAACAAAAATATTTTGGCCTGCTTCTTGCGTTCAACAGAAAAAGTTGCCTTGAGGCATTGACATTTCATATTACCAAACTGGTTTTAGCTCTAAGGACCCGTTTAATGAATCAACTTTTTCAGTTTTGACCAAGTCTATAGTCTAAACAAAAATATTGGTACTTGGGCGGTTTATGGTTTATCCTGGCTTAGTTGGATCTAATGTTTTGAGTGGTTGTCTTGATCCCGTTTATCTATTCTAACCTAATCAAATATGCTTAATAGATTGGTGACTATTTTAGCAAGTTCTTGGCAATTCTAGCCTAATATCATGTACTTTAACCACCAAACGCTTCTCAAAGCTGCTTACACTTGAAAATCAAATAAAAGCGGCAATATGAAATTTGAAACATGTTGTAAATGCTCTAAAAGCATAAGCATATTTGATTATAATAGAATAGGTAGATCAAAGGTATCAATACAACCATCTAAAACATTAGATCCAACTAGACCAGGATAAAAGTGGCCCCTCCTAACCAAGGACCAAAATATTCAAGTACTAGGCAAAGTAACACTATAGCCAAACGACAATATCAAAAATTTATACCTGCCAGCGGCACTGGGTCCGTGTTGTCTTGCGGGAGCAGCTTCAGCCATTTTACCTGGAATCGACAAAATCAGTAATGGATTTTTCGTAATAAATTAGACAGAACAAAACTTTGGAAAAAAAAAGAATTTGGGCCCAAAAAGAAATTTTGCGATCGAATCTGCAACAGAAAAACGGCAACAGATAGACGGAGAAAGAACGTCATTTGTCGTGCGCGTACTCTTTTCGTCCATCTTTTTCGCCAAATCCAATGAATTAACTGAGTATCTTAAAATGACGAAAAATTAAATATAAAAGGAAAATCCTTTTTTTTTCAATTTAATTTGGTTGTGGTCGTTTATTCATTTCTTCTGTTTTCAGTTACCTACCTTACTAATTTGTCTTTTTTAGTGATGTACCTGCTTCGTCGTGCAGGACCACTGGCTGGGATGGTCGGAGCGGCCTACTGCTACAACGATGATATGCTACCACTCAAAAAGTAAGTAACTATTTTTTAGTGACTCAAAAAGTAACTAACTATTAGGTCTTCGGGAATGCATGAAAAACCTTTAAGTAAAATGCTTTTGCTTTTTATGGGAAGAATTCATAGATTTTAAGCAAAGTGTTGAGAATTTAGTTTGCTTACTTCTGTGGATTTTTCCTGTAAAACAAGGGTTTACAAGCCTGGTTAATTGATTTTAACTTTAAGTTTTAACAATAGATTTCAAAGTAAATTATGCAGGTATACATATAAATTGTACTTTTAGAACGATTCATGCATTTGTTGGCAATGAATCGCATCCGCAAGCTTACGACTCGTTCGGCGAAATGTTTCCACGCCAAAAGTGGAATTACAACTGGGATTTGTAAGTTATTAAATTTTATGCATACATTTTATCATTTCATAGGCGTGACCCAAAGTCGCTTATTGAAAACAAGGAGTTTGACAGCGCTTCAGAGGAAAAACGCAAAGAGATGATAGCCGAGGTAGTTTCTAGCCGATAGCAAGCATAAATTTGGTTTATTTAGAGAACTTCAACAGCCACTCGCAACATTATCCTCATTCGTCATGGCCAGTACAAGATAGAGTCGCAAGAGGATAAAGGTTTAACGGAATTGGGTATGCTGTTAATTTAATTTTCTAACATAGTTTTCAATCTAGGCCGGGAGCAGGCTGCTCTTGTTGGTGAACGCCTCGCTCGCTCCGGCTTGAAGGTTTGTAATTGCAAGTTTTTGTTGAGATCATTCTTTTAGATTACAAACCTCACGATGTCAACAATGGACCGAGCCACTGAAACGGCAAACATCATTCTTTCAAAGGTCAGTTATATTTTGTTTAACTTTGAAAAATTTGTTTTGGTTGCCAGAGAATTTGAAACGAAAAAGCGATTCGCTTCTTATGGAGGGAGCCCCGTATCCACCAGAGCCTCCAGTCTCGCATTGGAAGCCAAACAAGCTGGTAAGCTGTTTCGGAACAATTGTATCTAACATATTTCTTGAGGAGTTTTTCCAAGAGGGATCACGCATTGAAGCCGCTTTCCGCAACTACTTTCATCGCGCCTCGCCAAAACAAACCGAGGATAGTTATGAGGTTTGTCTATTTTATGTTGTTTGTATTTATTTTACGCTTAAAATTGTTTTTAGGTTGTTGTTTGCCATGCCAACGTGATTCGCTACTTTGTTTGTCGGTTGGTTAGCACATTAAAAAAAAAATTGGTACTTTTTAGTGCACTTCAATTTCCACCAGAAGGATGGCTCCGAATGTCGCTTGGCAACGGCTCAATCACTTGGCTCATCATTCGTCCAAATGGAAGAGTTTCGATTCGCAACTTGGGAGACATCGGCCACCTTCCACCGGAAAAGATCTCTTACAGCTAAGTATTTTACGTTCCTTGTGGGCTTAGGCACTACTAAAGTTTTGCTTCGAGTTTTTGTGTTTAAAAAGCAGGTTTTTGTTGAGAAAACCTCTCCGATAGCTCATCTTTTTCTGCTATAACTTGTAAAGTTAATGATTCTTAAGGGCTCATAATATAAGGCAAAGTTGTCGAGTTTTAGTGAAATTTTCAAAGAATGTAAAATTTTAGGAATGTCAGGGAGGGAAGAGTACCTAAAAAAGCTGCTACTTTTTAACTCAATGATCTCATGAAAATTTTAAAAACTTGAAAACTTTGCTTTAAATTATACGATATCTTTCTGTTTCCTTGTACGGTTTATGGTTTTTAATATCTCGCGACCTGTGATTCTTGCCCGATTGTTTCTGTTTTTCTTTTGTAAAGATACGTGTGAATCTTCTGAAGTTGTAGTTTTTTAGACCGGTGGTGTTAGAAATAATTTATTGTTTTGTAGGAGGATAAATTTTTGACCCGCAATTCCGAAGATTGTACGTGAACGGTTAAGGAAGTCCGTAACTTGTTGGTGATTCAACATGAAGGCGATTGGCTTAAAGTTTGCAAATTTTTCATCATAACATGCAACTTACCGGCTTCTCTCTGTTCACGAAGCCATTCTCGGAAATATTGAAAGAAATCAAAAGCATAGGCAAAGGATTGAAGTAGGCAGATACCCTGAAAAAAATTGTTATGGAAAATCTTTCTCTACTCACCGCTGCAACTGTCCATGCGAAGCTTGATGTGTAGGTTTTTGCGTTGAAGCACAACCACAACGAAACGAAGTGAAGAATGACAAGGAGAAGTGCTCCGAGAGATTCCTGAAAGTTTTATTATCGTGTACTTGAAGATACTGAAAGACTACAATAGGTCAGGAAAAAGTATTCAGTTTATCGATTTATTTTATGTAAACTTACTGTCATACTGTAGGAGACCGTTCGAAAAAGCGGGAAAACGATATTTTCGAGTTCAAAGAGTAAAATTGCGGCTGCAGATAGATTGAGGAGAAATGAGATGAGAAGAGTTAACCAAACGAGAAATGAACCCGATGCTGAGGGGGCGATGATCAGACAGAGAGTCAGACAAAGACTCAAGATCTGAATTTGAGTGTTAAGCTCATGGAAAAGTGCACTAAAATGAAACCATTACTGTTTTAAATGCAAATTTTACTCAAGTACGGTAGAAACACAAAAAAGACTAGCTTTCAAGGTAGGTTCATTTATTTATTTTTTATTTATTCATTTATTTATTTTTTGAATTATCTAAAAACTTGTGAATGTTAATTTTTGGTTTTCAAGTAGAAGAATCGACAAATGACAATCGACAAAGTACTCACAAATGTTAGCGCTTTTATAGCGTGTGGAAGTTGAGCGAATTGCGAGATGTATAAAGCCATCTTGTTTTCAGAAAATCTATCAAAGATCAAAGGAAATTTCGATATTTCCTCTGTGAGTTATGAAGAAATGCAAGAAATGCCCGATCTTTTTTCTCTTATCTTTCGTGAGGTGAGTGAGGTGTTTGAAGAGGGGAAATCGATATTGCTGAAACCATTCGAATACTTATCAATGTTAGTAATAGAATAGCCACAAAAGGTGACTCTGTTTTTGCTATTGATGAAAATGAATTGCTGAATTGCATGAATTGCTAAAAGTTTTTATTTATTTACTAGTTTTTTTTTATTTACTAGTTTTTAATTCAAATTCCTGAGTTGCATTGAATTGAAGTTTGCAAAAAAAACAATAAATGCAATAAATGATGCTAAAAAGCCTCAAAACACCCCTTTCTAGTAGACTGAAATCGTGATTTTTCCAATGATATAGCTAAAAAGTGATGATTTCAATGCACTAGAAAGTGTATGTTTACAAATTTTGAGCAAGTACAGAGAAGAAGGTTTTGCTTTAATTAAGTGGATTCGGGAAGTGAAAAGTTTTTGAAAGGAGATGAATATTTTGAGTTGGAAACATTCCACTGTTCGACTTTCCAACAATATGCCATCCATATGGTAAACCAGGGCTCTAAAATTTGGTTTGATTTGGTTTGATTTGGTTTGATTTGGTTTGATTTGATTTGGTTTGATTTGGTTTGGTTTGTTTTGGTTTGGTTTGATTTGGTTTGGTTTGGTTTGATTTGATTTGGTTTGATTTGATTTGATTTGGTTTGATTTGGTTTGGTTGGTTTTGGTTTGGTTTGATTTGGTTTGATTTGGTTTGGTTTGGTTTGATTTGATTTGGTTTGATTTGATTTGATTTGGTTTGGTTTGATTTGATTTGATTTGATTTGGTTTGATTTGGTTTGATTTGGTTTGATTTGATTTGATTTGGTTTGTTTTGGTTTGGTTTGATTTGGTTTGATTTGGTTTGATTTGATTTGGTTTGGTTTGGTTTGGTTTGATTTGGTTTGATTTGGTTTGATTTGGTTTGATTTGATTTGATTTGGTTTGATTTGGTTTGATTTGATTTGATTTGATTTAAAGGGGGGTATTAATCGCGGCCGGGTGACGATAAAAAATTTTTTTACCGCAACCACCTGTTTTTTATTTTAATATCGCTGATTTTATTATAAAAAGAATAAAAATCACCCGGCTAGAGTGATTTGATGGGTTTACAATCTGCAATTAAAACTCAATCGATCTAGACTGTGTTGAGGTGTCTGATGAGTGACGATCTTGTTTTTCTCCTTGCAGTGTCTCCAAAAATGTCCTTGTCCAAGCCTTGCAGTGTCTCCAAAAATGTCCTTGTCCAAGCCTTGCAGTGTCTCCAAAAATTTGTAAACCCATCAAATCACTCTAGCCGGGTGATTTTTATTCTTTTTATAATAAAATCAGCGATATTAAAATAAAAAACAGGTGGTTGCCGTAAAAAAATTTTTATCGTCACCCGGCCGCGATTAATACCCCCCTTTAATTTGATTTGATTTGATTTGATTTGATTTGATTCGACTTTTCTTTTACGACACTTTACAGTACAGTACGCTTTACAGTATCTCTAGAAAATCTAGCCTAAAAACTCACATCCTCTAGCGTTGACGGGGATCCAACTTGAGTGGAAATCGTTCGACTCACCGAACCAACTTCCTGCATACCGGCGACACCAAGAAGTGGTGAATCCTAAAAGAGTTTTTTTCTTTTTTCCATTAAAAATGAAATTTTCCAAATAAAAATGCAACTAATGCGAATGTGAAAGAAAATTTTGAACTAAAATAACTACTCGAAATGGCGACTCGGACATTTGATCTTCCGCCTCGCCCCTTTTCTTTGCCTATCTATTGGGTTGGTGAGTTGAATTGGTGAATTGTGCTCACTTAAACGCGAGTTTCTGGCGTACTAGAGTTCACACTGTTAACTGATCTTCAATTAATTTTTAATTTCTAGATCTAAATTCTGATTTCCTATGCTAATTCGCTCTGGGGACGGTAGCCGCGGATACCACTGGGATTACTGTAAGATCTAATTATATTCCGGATTACGGTAGTAAATACGGTACTAGTTATAGTATCGATACGGATTACGGTACTAGTTACAGTATCTCTGGATACCGTCCGTGAACGTGAGCCTTCTGGCAGACACTGTTATTTCTCGGAACGGAAATTCAAATCCCATCCAAATCTATTGGGTTGGTGAATTGAAAACTGCGGGACTTTGAACTAAAATTTATTGAACATAAAACCATAAATTAATTCTAAATAATTTCCATTATTATTGACGACTTCTGCCCATTTTAAAGGCAATTTGCGGATTCCTCTTTCGGGATTTAGGATTTTGGTTTGTGTGTGAGACAAGTGTGAGACTCAAAAATCGAGGAGAGGTCCCGGTTTGAGCACTTTCTTTAAAAGAAACCCATTTTGGTGTCAATAGAAAAGTTGTAGAGAATCAAAAAGTAGGCTTATAGCCAAATTTCCAAAAAGATACACTTAGTAGTTTCGCTTAAAATGCAAGTTTTGTGAAAATTCGTAACATTTGGAATTTCTTGAAAACCGGTTTTTGAATCGTTCTGAAATTTTGGATATAAGCTTGATTTTTGATTCTCTACAACTTCTCCATTGACACCAAAATGGGTTTCTTTTGAAGAAAGTGCTCAAACTGTCACATATGACAATAGTCGGCAGTTTTCAATTCATCAACCCAATTTTATGCTCAAATTTCTCGGTGTTGATTTATTCAATTTAGAAATTAGAAATAGAAATATCATTAAATGCGCCTAATCTTTCTCTATCGATTTCTATAAAAAACTATTTATATTGAACAGCAAAAAAACCAAGAAATTTGAGCTTCAATGGCGATCAAATATCCCACAATCACTGCCAAGCATTGGAAACCTTTTTGATTCTCATTTTTGAAGTCATTTGTGGATTTGTGGAACAAATGGGCGAGTTGGGGAGTTGTTTTTTTTGATTAGACTTCAGAGTTATAGATTGTTTAAGATTTTTTGAGAATTTCTTGATAAAATCATTTTTTGTTGTTGATATTTTTGAGAAAATTTTCATTTTTCGTTCTTTTTTCTTTATTTTGAATTCTTTGGAATTGGGATTAGCGGTTTTTTGAATTTTTAAAGAATTCTTAACATTTCGAGATTTCTCATTGTTCAATTTCTTTTCCAAAAGATATTCTCGGAGATTTTTTGAATGTTTTCGATTATTGGCTTTCCTGAGATTCTCCTGTGGTTTAGGCGTTTTTCGTTTGCCAGGAATTACTGTCGATACCGTAATTGGGAGTTTTCCTACCGTAATTGGCCCATTTCCTTCCGAATTCTTGAGCTTTTTATTCGATTTCACTTGAGCTTTCAATTTCTCATCTCTAAAGCTTTTTTGAAGGTTTTTTGAAAGTTTTACAAATTTTTGCGGTTTTGTTGTTGTTGAGAATTCATTTGATTGTTGTTTTTGAGAAGTTGATGAACTTTTTGAAGCTTTTTTCTTTGGACAATCGTCTTCGGACAATCGGACAATCGAATTCCTTTCGATTTTCGAAGTCTCAGGCAAAAATCGAACTTTTTCCTTGCTCGATAAAGTTGAAGTGAGAATTTTCTCAGTCGAACTTTGCTTTTTCTCATTTCTTTGCGCTTTCATCGTAAAATTTGCCGCTTGTGAAGCGATTTCTTGCAGAGAGAAACGTTTTGAATGCTAAATTCAGAGAAAAGTTTATCAGCTATTCGTTCAGCTATCAGTCTTTCTGAGAAAATGTTTATTATAAAATTTCAAACTATCCATTGCACTTACTGGTGTAATCTTGTCACAAGCTGGCATTCCAATGATCCCGCAAACCGTTTGCCGAAAGAAAATCGAGTTACCTTCCTGAAATTTTCGACTTCGTCTTTTCTTTATCTATTATATAAAAGACACCTATTTTAGGTAAATTACCGTTACCAAACTATCAATTTTTATTTAATCAGCTCGGTTTACTGAAAATATTATCATTTGGGTCTTATGATCATTTGGCTCGGACGAGATTCGGCTTGAAAAAAGCAAAAGAAATCAAGGCGGGATTGAACTTGTTATGTCTCGCTCTAGAAGCGAAAGCTTTACCACTCAGCCACGGCTGCAACGAACCGGGTCCGCAGGGAAACCGTTAAGAGGCCGCTAAGCCCGATTTCAGAGTCTTAACAAAAAAAAAACAAAAAAAACAAAACAAACAAAATAAAAACTTTAAACCCTTATAACTTCTGACAGATTGTCATTTGGAAAAAACGGAATATAGATTCGGAATCAGCATCAAATTCTGCGTATAGGTCGTATAGCATTTAGCCGGTTTAGCCAGCTGAAAAGTGGATGGATGAGCAAAACTCAGCCAGTGCCTGAGCTGATTGAGCTGATTAAAATGAAACAAAAATTGAGCTGATTAAAGGGAAACTAGTGGTTTGAGTAGCTTTCTAGAATTGTTTTCTTTTAAAAAAAACTTGAAAACACATGAGTTTATGTAAATGATTTACCTTAAAGCATTGTGACAAGAGGTTCTCTTCGAGTACCCGATCACCCACATCTAAATCTTTTCCACCATCGGTTCGACATCCTAAATTTGTATTTTCTTTTAAGCGCTTAGTCAATTGCTTGTTGCTTAGTCAATTTTCTAAATTTAGAAAATTGAAATGCGATAAATTGATTGTAAATCGAACCCTCAATAACGTAGACTCCGAATTTTTGACAACGATATCGCAAATGGCCTCCTTGAAAAGCCTCACCCTCAGCGTAATCCTTTCCATCTTTATAACATCTCTAAAAATAGAAGAGAGAGCTTCTAGCTAGCTAGCTAACTAGCTTCCTTTCTACTAGCTTCCTTTCTACTAGCTTCCTTTCTATTGGCTTCCTTTCTACTGGCTTCCTTTCTACTAGCTTCCTTTCTACTAGCTTCCTTTCTATTAGCTTCCTTTCTACTAGCTTCCTTTCTACTAGCTTCCTTTCTACTAGCTTACTTCCCTTATCTTCCTTCCCTTCCCTTCCTTCCTTTATCTATCCACCTTATCAAATCTCTCATCAAATCTCCCAACCTTTGGCATCGCCTCTTCAAGAACTTTTGCCAAATCCTCATTTCCATGCAATATAATCGTTTTTTCAATCGTTTCCCCGAGAATCCCGGCGATGAAAATCCCGAAAATGAACCACATTCTAAAAGTTAACTTTTAAAAAAGATCTAAACCCAATCTCGCAATCTAAATGGTAAACAGGCGCCTTAAAAAGACTTTAAAACTCAAAAGTTCTAAAAATTAACTTTTAAAAAAAGATCTAAACATAAAAATCAATCGCATTGCAAGCAAAACAAAGCTTTTATATTAGGAAAAGCATCCAAGGTCAACTCTCACAAAAATCTCTGTCTTTCTCGAGGCGCCAACATTCAGCAACAGCAAATTTCTCTTGACAATGACCTAATTTTTTTTAGGGAAAAATTGAAAATTTTAGATACAGAATCATTGAAAATTTTGAGTTTTAAAGTCTTTTTAAGGCGCCTGTTTACCATTTAGATTGCGAGATTCGGTGGATAGTGGAAAAGAATCGAATGGAATGAAAATGAAATGAAAAATCGAATTGAATGAGATGAAATGAAATTGAATCGAGAAAAAGATCTTCCAAGATTTTTCAGATCACCTTTGTGATGATGCAGAGTCAAACAAATGGTAAAAACGATTCGCATTTCTCAGAGTTTTTGTTCAAATTTTTTGGGAAATCTTTTTCCCCCCGAATCTAGGGATTCCATGAGTGGAATCGTTGAGGAATCGTTGAGGAATCGTTGAGGAATCGTTGAGGAATCGTTGAGGAATCGTGGAGGAATCGTTGAGGAATCGTTGACTGGTTATCTTACTTCCTTTATCTTCCGTTGAAGTTGAATCCATGAGTGGAATCGTTGAAGCATTAGGGATTCCATGAGTGGAATTGTTGAGAATATCAAATCGTAATTTTGAGTAACTTTTGAGTTTTTGAGTAACAGTTTAAGTTTTTGACAGATCAAAGTACTTCCAACAGTAAAGTAAGGCGTAAGGCCTTTTCCAGACGGTGTAGCTCATTGGTAGAACGTTCGCCTACGAGGCGAGACGTCGTGGGCTCGAATCCATGCTGTGTTTTATTTTTTTGGAATGTACATTGTGAAGAAATTGAAGCACTTTGTACTTTAATACTGTACTTTGTACTTTACCGTATTTACTCTATTAGTACTGCGAAATACTATTTTTGTGGTGACGGCTGAGTTCAAGAACTTGAACTTTGTTCAAGTCGATTTCCTATGTAAGATAAAAACTGTAGCCAACAAAATGGTCAACAAAATGGCCAACAAAATGACTGACAAGGGCTTTTCTGCACTGTTCTACATTGACACAAAGTCTAGTTTTCGATTGTTCGTTGATTGATTGTCTAGATTGTTCGGCCAATTGTTTTGCTCCTTCTGGAATTGGAAAATTTTTCTTGAAACAGTGAATGAGAGCATCTTCTGACTCATCCAAAACCATCGTAATTGCACAATTTTGGAAAGAATGAATGATCATACCCTTTGGCAACTCACTCTGAGTCATCCAAACCCAATCAAGATTTGTTTCCATTGGTGGAGGAGCCGGGTTTCCATTCCGGGTCACTGGTTTTCGTTCATTCGTCATCCAATGCTCGTAAAATGATCAAATTTTGGCCTTAAACAGTGCGTTGCAAACAATATCGGGAGCTTGAATGAATTTAGTGAATCCACATGCACAGAATTGAATTGAACTGCACAAGAATTGAATCACTCTAAAGCTCCTTGAGTTTCTTCTTCGTTGTCTCACTTTTGTGAGTCGAGAGTGTCAACTATGATCTCACACCAGCAGCCGCTTTCCGAAAAGCGAAGCTCCGAGAACCTTCTGAAGATAGACACCAATGAAGGTATCGTTCATTCAAGTAGATCCTCCGCAATGCAACTCGAGTTTGTTGTGGAGCTTGGTGAGAAATTTTGGATCGGGACGAACTCGATTTAGCAAAACAAAAGGGATTTAGCAAACAAAACGTGCATTTGGGACCATCATCACGAGCGGAAAAATTGATTTAGAAAATTGAAAGATATTCAGTCAACAAAAAATCGAAAATCTAGACTTTGCGTCAATGTTGAACAGTGCAGAAAAGCCCTTGTTAGTTATTTTGAAACATATTTACTTAATTAGCAAAGAAGTCGGCTACTACAGTCCTGGACAATGAAATATGATATTTGAGAAACGATCGTCACGTTCGCACGTTCGTCACGTTCAACTGAGATCACCATGAACGTTGCTTACCGATCTAACGAGATAGCTGGATTGCGAGATAGCTGCATTAGGAGACAGCTGGATTACGGATAAAGTACTGGACAATGAAATATGATATTTGAAAAGCGATCGTCACTTTCGCGTCACGTTCGCACGTCTGTAACTTCCTTGTCTTTGAGTTTAAACTATTAGTGTTTTGCATTTTCTGAAAGCTCTTTTCAAGCGCTACACAATGGTAATATTAATATTAAAAATACGATAAAGACAAGGGAGTTACAGACGCGCGAAAGTGCGAAAGTGTTTTTTCAAATATCATATTTCATTGTCCAGTACTGTAAATACCAACAAATAAAAATTAAATTTGGATCAGTGCAAATTTGCGTGCAATACTATTTTTTTCGATCTACCCCTAGCCCGCAGTACTATTAGGGGTGTGATACTAATAGAGTGAATACGGTACAACCCTAATTACAGAAGTACTCCAGATTACGGTTTGTGGAAGGATTGTTGACGAAGGGACCAAGTCACCGGGGGATTACTGTACGTCTGGGAGTCGGTTTAGACCTTCCGGCTGGTTTTGGTTTAACAGGATCTGGAATTTGTAGAAGGCAAATTTGGCGCAGGTATTGTCAGCAGGATTTTGGGCCTACTGACGCCCCAAAAGCTAAACGTTAACAACGTTAACATGAACCGTTAACACGGCTTTGGTCGCCCGTCGCCCGCTCATCGCTGCCGTGTAAATGAACTCCAAATTTGCTATTGGGTTGGGGACTATGACTCGGCGCCAAACTTTAAAGGGACTTTTTGCACACATAAAGCCTTCTTTAAACATACGTTTGGTTTCATCAAAAGGATCCACTATTTCTCTACAAAATCACTTTTGAGAGATTCCACAAAGCTTTTCTTTCGTGGAGTTTATGGACTCCCAAACACAGCTAGTCAAAATGGCAAAGAGTCCGACTCATCCATTTGAACAGTTTCTTTCACATAAACCTTCTTTGGTGTTTATATAAAAAAGATAGAGCACATTCAATTACTTAAGTTGCCAAATTTGCAGGAAGATCCCACCAATGGTTTTTTCTAGATCACAGTTTGTAGTTTTTGTGAAAAAATGGCTTTTTCTTGAGCGGAGGCGCTGTTTGAATTTTCTTTTAAATGTCGTTTTGTAGAGAATTAGTTAACCATTCTACTGATATCAAACGCATATTATTTGACGAAGTCGAATAGAAGTTTTAGACATTTTTTTGATTTTCGGCGCCGAGTCATAGTCCCCAACCCAATAGTATAACTAGACATATCTGAGTACTTTCTAAAGTAAACCTAAAGTAAACCGCTTTAGAAAGTAACTTTCTAAAGTAAACCTAAAGTAAACTGCTTTAGAAAGTAACTTTCTAAAGCGTCTAAAGTCTAAAGTCCATTCGCTTCTAATGGAAAACTATTTCTGTAGTTAAACAAAAGGTAAAACTGAGTAACTTGTCGAGTAACTAATTAGACTTGAGTATTAGGGGAGCTTGTACAATTATCCACTCCAGTTTTCGATTTGTTATTGGATAAAAGACTTGTGCGGGTAATCCGGGCAACTCAGAGAACTCATGTCTGCAGAGGGGTGAAGGGGCGGGGCGCCTCTCTTCACCTCTCGATCCCTTCACTCCCTTTCCCCAATCCAATCCATTCCACTTCCAGCTGATTCCTCATTCTAACAATATAATGATTTAACTTTCCATCTCTTTTCAAAAAAAAATGTCTAAATTTCTAATTATCTTTTCTCTTCTGAGTTTTTGGACATTGAACAATGGAATCGTTTTTCAAGGTGGGTAAATATTTCTTCTAAAGCTTTAATTATAAGTTTTGGTCGATTTTTGAAGATAATAATCAGTTTGAAGATAATAATTAGTTATTTTTGAAGATAATAATTAGTTTAAAGTTAACAATCACTTCTTTCCACTACTTTGTTTTAAAAATAAGAACCTTGTAAAATACTTTGTGTTCAGAGTTTTGTAAAACGCTCTCTAGCGACTTCTTCTTCTTTTGCCTTTACTTATAAAGAGTTTAGTGCGCCAAAAAGCATGCATTTCTAAAATCCGAAGAACACAAAGTACAGTAAAGTAAAGTAAAGTAAAGTAAAGTAAAGTAAAGTAAAGTAAAGTAAAGTAAAGAAAAGTAAAGTAAAGTAAAGTAAAGAAAAGTAAAGTAAAGTAAAGCAAAGAAAAGCAAGTTTTCTGAATGTAAATGCAAAACTAAAATAAGTAAAGCTAAAATGTACGTGAATAATTGAATTTCTGATTTGTTTCATTTGTTCATTCATTTCATTTGTTTATTTCTGATTTTATCTGTCTATTTTCTACCAAATCTTTTCTTTTTCTTTCCATTTTTTAAAAAAGAATAAAGAATAGAAAGAATTAAAAAAGAATCTGATACCGCTCACCCTTTCTCTTCCCACCTCTTCTCACCCTCTTCCTTTTCTTTTCATTTAAAAAGAATACCTCTTCTCATACCGCTCACCCTTCCTCTTCCAATCTCTTCTCACCCTCTTCCTTTTCTTTTTATTTAAAAAAGAATACCTCTTCTCATACCTCTCACTCTTCCTCTTCTCACCTCTTCTCACCTCTTCTCACCTCTTCCCACCTCTTCCCACCTCTTCTCACTATTTCTCTCCTAGCAACCCCTCTTGTCTTTTCCAAAAACAGAAAAAGACTTTTAAAAAAGAAAAGGAAAAGCTCCATTTCATCCATTGGCTTTTGTTTTTTAGTGAAAAAAAGATTCACAAAGATTCACAAAGTTAGAAGAACTTTTATGCGCTG